GGAGGGGGGAAGAAAATGAGGGGCGGGTGAAGGAAGAGGGAACGAAGCTGGGAAGGGTGGAGGGAATGAGGGAAAGGAAGGGAGAAAGAAGGTGGAGAGAATGAGACTGGGAGGTAGTGGAAAGAATGAGGGGGGAGAGGGTATGGATGGAATTAACTCCGGGGGGGGGAAGGGAAGGATATGTTTGGGAAACCTCACTCAGGAGCACGAGGCTGGAGTTATCACAAATTACTCTGAGGGAGGGAGCCTGTCTGTCTGTCTGTCTGTCTCTCTTCTCTCTCTCTCTCTCTCTCTCTCTCTCTCTCATTTTCAGATCAGGTCAAGCCAAAACGAGTGGGAAATAATGTTACTTTCCGATCCATTTACTGAAGATTGGTCCATTCAGGGAAGCAGGGACGGGGAGATGTGAGGGATGGGGTGGGGATATATAAGGGATGGAGAGATGTGAGAAACGGAGACGTGAAGGACGGGGAGAGATGTGAGCAGAGCGATGATTTTCATTGTGTACCAATTACTGTTTCTCGTATATTTAATCTCCCCTGCTATCTCTCTCTGGTCAGTGTTCCACTTGTTACTACCCTCCATCTCCCTACTACCGACCCTCCCTCACATGCCGCTGCCCCCTCCATCCCTCGTCACTTCCCTCCCCTCCCTGCAGAGGCTGCAGTGCGGGCACAATAAATTGGCACTAACGAGGAGCAAGAGACGACGGGAAGCTCATCTCCTTTCCCGTATTTCACTCTCATTTGAATATTGGTTGTCAACTGCAGCTTGCTGCTGCTGCTGCTGCTGCTGCTGCTATTGTGGTAAGGGAAGACCATCGAGAGCAGCAGGGAGAAAAAGCGGTGGTGGGAGCAAGAGGAGGGAGATAAATGGAGAAAGGGTGGATGGAAGACACAGAGCACGAAGGACAGAAAGTGTGGTTATAGGGATGGAGTTAATGGGAAACACTGAGAGTTCAAGAGTGTAAAACATTTACCAGACTTCCATTTCATGCTCACCCTTACCTTTGATAGGTATCGAGAGTTTCTCTACTCCCGGAGGCCGGTCAGGACACTTGTAAGTCCGTGATTCTCACTTCTACTAATTTTCTAGTGAAATGAACCATTAATTTAATACATAGAATTTCCCTGTAAAAGTCAAATTAAAAAAAATAGATATAACATTAGAATCGGAGATTGTTTTTATTCAGAACATAAAAAATACAGCATGTTTACAGAAAAAAAATATATTACAAAAGATACAGGGAAATTTGTTCTAGAAGAGGGCCGCGGAGCGCGGTTCTTCCCCCTCCAACGAAATCGACTCCAGGTAAACGAAAGCAACTCGTAATGAAAGTTAATGTTGGATGCTGGAAGAAGTAGCGAGACCAGAGGAGGTATACTGGAAGAACAGAAGAGATACCACACTGGAAGACCAGAGGAGATATCACACTGGAAGACCAGAGGAGATATCACACTGGAAGACCAGAGGAGATATCACACTGGAAGACCAGAGGAGATATCACACTGGAAGACCAGAGGAGATATCACACTGGAAGAACAGAGGAGATATCACACTGGAAGAACAGAAGAGATATCACACTGGAAGACCAGAGGAGATATCACACTGGAAGACCAGAGGAGATGTCACACTGGAAGACCAGAGGAGATATCACACTGGAAGACCAGAGGAGATATCACACTGGAAGACCAGAGGAGATATCACACTGGAAGACCAGAGGAGATATCACACTGGAAGACCAGAGGAGATATCACACTGGAAGACCAGAGGAGATATCACACTGGAAGACCAGAGGAGATATCACACTGGAAGACCAGAGGAGATATCACACTGGAAGACCACAGGAGATATCACACTGGAAGACCAGAGGAGATATCACACTGGGTTTTGAAAGAGTCTGCTCATTATTATTATTATAATCAAGGGGGAGCGCTAAAGAGTCTGCTCAGCTAGCCACTCCAGATTTTTCTTGGGATTTAATTACCACAAAGTTATCTTTTGAGACGCATCGAAAATGGATTTTTAAAATTTTTTTTTTTTGTCGAAAAACGGTGAGGAGAGAGTTCCTCAAAAGATTTAAAGTTACTGCAGGAACGTTGCTTAAACACTGCTTGCTTATCTTCCTGTCTGTCTCTCTTCGTTCCTCCTTCCTTCCCCTCCTTTCCCACTTTTCCTTTCTTCTTTCTGCAAAGTATATCCTTCTTGTCTACCACTTTACCTTGTCTGTCTCTCTTCGTCTCGTTTCTCCCTCCCCTCTTACCTTCCGCACGGAGCTTCCCCTCACAGCGTTGTAATGTGTGGAAAGTAGAATCACAGACTCCCCACTTACACCTGCGACAGACAAATGCATTCACCTCATCCAGGATTAATAGGCTTTTGAAACGTGAGAGGGAGGGAGGGAGAGAGGGAGAGAGAGAGAGAGAGAGAGGGAGGGAGGGAGGGAGGGAGGGAGGCAAAGAGGAAAGGGAGGGAAGAAGGGAATTAAGAGCAGAAGAACTGAGAGAAAGGGAGGGAGGAAGGGTGTGTTAGGAGGGAGTTCTGGTAAAGAGTATATGTATGGTCAAAGGTCAGAGTAGACGCCCTGGACACTGTCCTTCAACAGCAATTGTTGATCACTGTTCCTGGATGATACATACAGGGATTAGGAATGTCCTAACTTTATATTAATCGTGTGTCACTTGCAGGCAACCTCATGCTAAGTGGACACGTGACTTAACCTGTTTGGGACTAATTGCCCACTTATCACTGGTCTAATAGGGGCTCGTCTGAGATTTTGTGACAAGCCCTCAGCAGATTGCTGCAGTCTCCGTAGGGAAGACGGGTGCTAGAAATTCAGACTTAACTTGGTTCTTGTAACGTTGAGCCGTTTGTCACTATCATGTTACTTGTACACTATACTGTGGGTCCTGCTATCAATAGCTTATCAAAAGATGCGTCGTCCTTTTCTCGAGGGTTCACGGGACGTCGTACTTCCTGTACGTTGTTTAAGCACGTCTGAAAGCTGTCCTTGCATCCACTAAAAATTCAACAATTCTATCATGTACACTAGCGTACTTGTCTATACTCTTAGTTTGCTGCACACGCTACTAGTCTTTGAGCTTGTAGCTCGTAGACGTTGAGTGTTACCCACTTACTAATTTCACAAACACTCGTTCATGATTATTCACTCGCAAGCAGTCTTTTTTATGTTCACGCTTAATGTTTCACAGTAGAAAGTAAGTGGCAATACGTTCTCATAGCCAGGGTGACGGAATCTGCGTCTCAACATAACCTGACCACTTCGGTTTGCTCCTGTCAACTGTTTCTTATCCTCAAAGCAGGTGTAAATAAAAACACTTGCCAGTGTTATATCATCTTTTGCGGATGATACTGAATTAAGCATGGAAATCACCTCGTAGAAGACACGGAAAAAAAAGTAAGATAGAAGGAAAATTTTCCAGTGGGAAGTGGAGAACATGACGTTTAATGGTGATAAGTTTCAACTGCTTAGATATGGAAAGAATGAAAAACTCAAGACATTGTATACGAACCCCATAAGGAACATGTGAAAGACCTTGGAATAATGATGTCAGCCGGCCTTTCTTTCAATGAGCACAATAAGGCAATGTTAGGACAGCTAGGAAAATAGCGGGGCGGATAATACGAACTTTCAAAACAAGGGATGTAGGGCAAATGGCGACCCAGTGATCTCTCGCCTTGAGTATTGTTCAGTGTTGACGGCCACTGAACGGCCGTAAATGATCCTGTATCTGGAACAGATACAGAAATCATTTACGGTCCACATAGTGCTAATAAAGCATTTAAATTACGCCTCAAAGTCCTAAATATGTATTCACTGGGGCGGAGGAGAGCTACATGATAATATATACAGGAAAGGTACTTGAGGGCCTGTTCCTTAATGTGTACACTGCGTGAACTACATACTAAAATGAGATATATGGGTGAATGTGTCAAATAAAATAAACCCAGTGAAAAGCAGGGGCACAGTGGGCACAATAAGAGAACATTGTATAAGCATCTGTGCCCCCACACTATTTAACACTGCCACAAAATATAGGAAACACTGCTGGAACAGCAGTGTTTTCTATAAGTTTTCAAGAGGAAATTGGACATGTATCTCTGCCAAGTGCCAGATCAACCAGGTTGTGATGGATGTGTCCGCCAGCGGGCAGCCAGCAGTAACAGCCTGGCTGATCAGGTGAACACTAGGCAAATGTGACTAAGTGCTGGGCTGCGAGAATAAGAAGTAGAAAAACTCTCGAAACCCTTTAAAGGTATAACGACAATAAAGGCAGAGAGATTTAAGAGATAGAACAGGAGGCCTGGTCTGTAACCAGGCCACGGGGGGTAGTGACCCCCCAGTATTGTTTACATGTCTACGGAATCACTATTCTTTGCTCCTTGAATGTGAGATCGTCTTCCATTATCACTCCCAGGTCTCTCACGTTTGACTTACGTTTTATCGAGTGTTTTGAAATCTGCCCTCATTGAACACCATATTGTTATCACTGGAAAACTGTTTATACGGGCTTGGAGGCGCACCGTGTCTTATGTGGATGTTACTTTCATACAGATTCGAGTATCGTATCTTTCTCTCTCTTTACCTAACTCGTTCTCTTACTCTCGTCTCTAATTCCCTCCCACTGTCTCTCGCACACACAATTATATCTATATATATATATATATATATATATATATATATATATATATATATATATATATATATATATATATATATATATATATATATATAATCGTATGTATGTATACATCTCTTTTGCCTTTCTCTCTGATAAATGAGATAGATATCTTTATAAAAGGAGTCATTTTTCCTGTGTACTAGACAGGCAATATATCTCTTTCCCTCCCCCCTCCCCACGCACACAGATGCAGCATCTCACCCCATCTCTCTCTCTCTCTCTCTCCACACACACACACACACACACACACACACACACACAAGCAGCATCTCACCCCATCTCTCTCTCTCCCCACAGAGAAGCAGCATCTCTCCTAGCGCTGGAGATAAGTACCGGGGTCGCTCTCCGGAACCTGAACCCAAGAAGATCAAGAGAGAAGATGGCCACGTGAGTACCTAGCCCCTAGTACCTAGTTCCTAGTACCTCGCTCCTAGTACCTAGCTGTTTGTACGCATCTCTTTGTTCCTAGTACCTTGCTTCTAATATCTAGCTCTTAGAATCTAAATCTTTGTTCCTAGTACCTAACTCCTAGACTCTAGCTACTTATTCCCAGTATCTAATTCCTTGCTCTTTGATCCTAATACCTAGTCCCTAGTACTTGGTTTCTTGTTCCTAGCACCTAGCTCTTTGTTCCTAGTACCCAGTTCTTTGTTTCTATGACTTCGTTTCTTGTTCTTAGTAAACTCCTGGTACCGTACTTCAAGTACCTAGCTAACTGTTCCTGGTACTTAGCTCTGTTAGTAGTACCTAACTCCTAGTAACTATCATTGTTCCTTGTATTGACTCTTCGTTCCTAGTGCTTTTTTCCCAGCACCCTGTTCCTAGTTTATAGTACCTTGTTACTAGTATCTTATTCCTAACATTTCGTTAGTAGTACCTAGTGCCTTTTTCCTAGTACGTTGTTCCTAGTACCTTATCTGGTCTTCTGATACCTTGTCTAATTTTCTAGCCCACTGATATCCTGGTACCCTTGTCTGGTATCTTCTAGCACACTGATATCCTAGTACCCTTGTCTGGTATCTTCTAGCACACTGATAAACTAGTACCCTTATTTGGTATCTTTTAGCACACTGATATCCTAGTACCCTTGTCTGGTATCTTCTAGCTCACTGATAAACTAGTACCCTTGTCTGGTATCTTCTAGCACACTGATATCCTAGTACCCTTGTCTGGTATCTTCTAGCTCACTGATATCCTAGTACCCTTGTCTGGTATCTTCTAGCACACTGATATCCTAGTACCCTTGTCTGGTATCTTCTAGCACACTGATATCCAGATATCAAGTACCCTTGTCTGGTATCTTTTGGTTGCTTCACTTCTCCCCTGGTACCTCACCTGCTCCTGGTACTTGGCAGCTTCTTTAATAGCTTAACGGATCCTCTGGTAACTTTAGTTGCGTCCCCGTCCAAGTGCCTCACTGGTCCTCCTAGTACCCGTCTCCTAGGGTAATGCATGCTAGGTCCCTTGTATACCCACACCTCTTATACTGTCCTCTTTATTGCAGTCCCTTTAATTCCATTTCACTATTACCGTCTCTTTTGTTCAGTTCACTCTTATTACCGTCTCTTTTGCTCACATCACTCTTATTACCGTTTCTTTTGTTCACGTCACTCTTATTACCGTCATTTTTGTTCACGTCACTCTTATTACAGTCTCTATTGTTCACGTCACTCTTATTATCGTCTCTTTTGTTCCAGTTCCTTTTTATATCCAGCCCTTTTCCCTTATTTTTTACAGTGGCTAGGCTCCTTATCCAAGCCTTACCTTGTATCCTAGTGCTGATATTCTAGTTTCACCTTAGATTTATCCTGGTACTGTCTTACCTGGTATTATCTTACCTGGTACTGTCTTACCTGGTATTGTATTACTTGGTATTGTCTTACCTGGTACTGTCTTACCTGGTACTGTCTTACCTGGTATTATCTTACCTGGTACTGTCTTACCTGGTACTGTCTTACCTGGTACTGTCTTACCTGGTACTGTCTTACCTGGTACTGTCTTACCAGGCACTCTGTCTCTACCAGAGTTCCAGAATTTTATCTGTAATATCATATTAATTACATTTATTATATAAAGTTAGAGGGGAAAGAGATGATCGTACTTTGTGTGTGTGTGTGTGTGTGTGTGGTGTGTGTGTGTGTGTGTGTGTGTGTGTGTGTGTCTTTGTGTGTGTGTGTGTGTGTGTGTGTGTGTGTGTGTGTGTGTGTGTGTGTGTGTGTGGTGTGTGGTGTTGTGTGTGTGTGTGTGTGTAGGATAAGTGAGAAAAGTGTTTAAGAATTATAATCCAAGTTAATGTTTTTATTAACAAAAGCGCAGTTAGAAGTGTTGAGTTTATATAAGGGAGATAAAACAAAATTAGGAAAGTCACAGTGAACTTAATATGTAAACCCGTGTGGGTTATGCAGCACAATTAGCGTTGCGGGCTCGATCCTCCGTCGTGGAGGTGGTCAGTAAACCAGATAAGAGAGCCAGATGACAGACCAAAACAATCTCTGATCGCTCCTCTTAACCGACCCAGATACGCCTCAATTCCTTCAATAAGTGACCGTATGAGAGCTCTTGTAAGCCAGCGAGTCATCCACAGTGTTCATGGTATAAGACACCTGTGTCAGGAATCACAACCATATTTTTTAATGAGAAGGGGGGGGATCGGTAAGCCAGTGGAAGGCCTCGGTCAGATGACCAAAAGCTCCAGCTGCGGGTCATCATATGACTAAGACCCACGTCATAAAACACTTGTCCTGTTTCCTGACAAATCTTACCTAACCTACGGAGACACACTGGTGTTTCCTGACAAACAAACCACCACCAGTCACTCTTGTGCCAGTCGGTGTGGTCCTCGGTTATTCATAACGCGGCTTTGTCGTCCTGTCCAACCATTTACCTTACTTTAATTAGCTTAACTGAATACCTAATAAAAATTACGGAGCAGGATTATGTGGCAGTCTAAGTTATACTTCCCTTGAAGTATGAAGCCGTTTTCTTTAGTACGAGGACGCCCTCTTTTTAATTCTAGGTAAAATATTTTCTTAAATGCAAGATGATGCTTTTTAAGTACTGAGAAAACTTTTTTATAATATAGAAGGTTTTCGCAAGGACTAGAAACCCGCTTCAGTATGTATGTTTTCTTGTAGTTAGGGTTGGTCGTCGTCTCATATACCTTTGTTTTGTTTCAAGGGCTTTCCTAATTCCGTAGCCCGGCCCTGGGCCAGGCTTGTCTGGTGCCTGGTCAACATGATGGTGCCCCGTTGCCCCCACACAATCACAGCCTTGTTGATGTGGCACTTGGCAGAGGTGTTTATCAAGTTTCCTCCTGAAGGTTTCTACACTTGTTTCGGCAGTGTTTCTGATATTTTCTGGTAAAAATGTTAAAATGTCTGGGACCAGGGATGTTGATACAGTGTTCTGTTGTGTCACCTGGATGAAAGCTCTTTCTCCAAGGGATACTGAGTGCTACTGCTATATTCCGCTTCTTTATGAGGAATTCTACGAATTTGATTCAGGTGTTGCTCGTGGATATGCGTTTTCAATTTTTTTTTTCTTCGAATTCTACGGAATTAGTGCTCATGTCAGTTATATGAACTGTGTGACCTTCAGATATGATGAACATATTTTCTGTTTTCTCCAGTCTGCTTACGTTCAGTGCACTGCTAAATACTCATCCATTTTTTTTTTAATTTCCTTCATATTTTTTTTAATCGTCATTGTATGAAACGAACCTCTCGTGATTAGTGGTCCAATTCTACAGGTAGCTCTTGACTTGTATGTTTGCATATGAATAGAAATATATTGGGCTCCTTGTAATACAACAGATGACTTTAGTTCCCCTTGGACTTGTGTGTGGCACGACAGCGTGAGTTTTTGTTCTGTCTCGGTAATCTCGCTGCTAAGATTATCTTTCCTTGTTGTGACATATTCACGTTTTTTAAGCATTTTAGTAAACCTTTTTCTTCTGTAAATTCCTCTATGCATTCTGTATTTGATCTCTAAGGGTTTCTCAGTGGTGTTTATTTAATACAGACCTTTTATGTTTCTGTGCTCAACTTTTCCAAGCACAGGTGAGGATATAGTGTGTTCAGGACTGTTTCCCAGGATATGTCTGATAGTTCGTTATTAATTCTGCACCAGTCAGTTCCCAGATTGACGAAGTTAAATTGACTAAACATCCCTTCTCGTACACTATATCTGGAGTTTTCCATCTCCGAGTTCATACTCGCTTGTATTTCTTTGATGTAGTGATCGGAGTATATTGTATTTATGATTATATCTGATTAGTTCCTTCTTGTCCGTAAAAATCAAGTTCACTGTATATTCACATCTAGTGGGCTCTCGTTATCCCTTGGTTCACAGCAAAGTTTTCACAAAGTCCCATTAAATCTCTGGGATGTAACCGCTTAAGTTAACGTGCTTCCAGGAACTATATCTGATACAAAGCTGTGATTTACCATCCTACGTTTCATATTTGGGAGGTTGAGATCCCCAAAGAGGATAATACCTGGTGTGGGGGTTGTCAGGACTTTCAAAGCAGCTGTCAGTCTTCTTTATATGATCCCTGAATATTATCCAGAGGAAGCCATTATCACTCACTTCATAGCCATTTTCTTGGAGGATATTTATTCTTAGGCTTAGGGCATTATAGTAACTTACAGGACATTTTCCTGAGGTGTGTTGAAGCCGTCTTTCTTTAGTTACGAGTTGACGCTTGTCTTCTCCTTCCACTTTAGTTTTTAAATGGGTCATAATTTTTGTACTTTAGTTTCCTTTTTGTTTTTTGTTTTGATGTTGCCTTTTTTTATCTGTTGCAGGATAGAGATGGGAATAAGAGCGAGCAGGAGTTGGTAGTGGACGATCCTCAGGTGGGTTGAGTTGAGGGTGAAGGTGAGGGCAGGTGAAGGTGAGGGCAGGTGAATGTGAGGGGAAAGAAGCCTTAGGGGAGATAAAGGGAAAGTGTGTGGATGAGAGGTTGAAGAGAGGAGAGATGAAGGGATAGAATGAAAGGAGGGGGAGGGGAAAGGAGGATAGAGGTGGAAGGATGTAAATCAAAATGTTATATGACTGGAAGAAAAGTGAGGTAAGAAGAGGCTGGTCATCTTTCTCTCTCTCTCTCCCACCTGGTTCATTACTGAAGGTTTCACACAGTCCGAGTACTTGACTGAAGTTTCACACAGTTCCGAGGCTACTTGACTGAAGGTTTCACACAGTCCGAGGCTACTGATGAAGGTTTCACATAGTCGAGGCTACTTGACTGAAGGTTTCACATAGTCGAGGCTACTTGACTGAAGGTTTCACACAGTCGAGGCTACTTGATGAAGGTTTCAAGCAGTCTGAGGCTACTTGACTGAAGGTTTCACACAGTCCGAGGCTACTTGACTGAAGGTTTCAAGCAGTCTGAGGCTACTTGACTGAAGGTTTCACACAGTCCGAGGCTACTTGACTGAAGGTTTCACATAGTCCGAGGTACTTGATGAAGGTTCACATAGTCCGAGGCTACTTGACTGAAGGTTTCACATAGTCGAGGCTATTGACTGAAGTTTCACATAGTCGAGGCTACTGACAGAAGGTTCAAGCAGTCTGAGGCTACTGACTGAAGGTTTCACACAGTCCGGGTTTACTTGACTGAAGGTTTCACACAGTCGAGGCTACTTGACTGAAGGTTTCAATAGTCGAGGCTACTTGACTGAAGGTTTCACATAGTCCGAGGCTACTTGACTGAAGGTTTCACACAGTCCGAGGCTACTTGACTGAAGGTTTCACATAGTCCGAGGCTACTTGACTGAAGGTTTCACATAGTCCGAGGCTACTTGACTGAAGGTTTCACACAGTCCGAGGCTACTTGACTGAAGGTTTCACATAGTCCGAGGCTACTTGACTGAAGGTTTCACACAGTCCGAGGCTACTTGACTGAAGGTTTCACAGTCCGAGGCTACTTGACTGAAGGTTTCACACAGTCCGAGGCTACTTGACTGAAGGTTTCACACAGTCCGAGGCTACTTGACTGAAGGTTTCACACAGTCCGAGGCTACTTGACTGAAGGTTTCACACAGTCCGAGGCTACTTGACTGAAGGTTTCACACAGTCCGAGGCTACTTGACTGACTGAAGGTTTGAGATGAGATCAAGGCTGTAGAGAGACACGAGATTTTTTACTGAAGACGTTTCGCCCATGCAATGGGCGAAACCTGGTGGTCGGTGTTGGTGGTAATGGGCGTGTGTTGTGTAGCTGGTGGAAGGGCGTGTGTTGTGATGGGCGTGTGTTGGTGAATGGTGGTGTAGTGATGGGGTGGTAGTTGGGCTGTGGTGTTGGTGATGGGCGTGGTGTTGGTGAATGGGCGTGGTTTTGGTGATTAGAACGTGGTGTTGGAGATGGGGCATGGTGTTGATGATGGGAACATGTTGGTGATTGAGCGTAGTATTGATGATGGGAACGTGGTGTTGATGATGAGGGCGTGGTGTTGGTGATGAGGGCGTGGTGTGGTGATGAGGCGTGGTGATGGGTGATGGGGACATGGTAATGGTGATAGGGCGTGGTGTTGGTGGTGGGGGCGTAGTGTTGGTGGTGGGGCGTGGTGTTGGTGGTGGGGTGTGGTATTAATGATGGGGCGTGGTGTTGGTGATGGGGGCGTCTAGTAATGGGGAATAACAAGGCAGAACACAATAATGCAAGAGGAACACACTCACGCACACCAAATACACACACACCAACACACACACAACACACACACACAACACACACAACACACACCAACACACACACACACACACACACACACACACACACACACACACACACACAACACACACAACATAAAACCCAAACACACACACATAACCAAACACACCACACACATAACCAAACACATACACACATAACCAAAACACACACACACACATAACCAAACACACACACGCACATAACCAAACACAACACACACGCGCGCGAGCGCGTACCCTGGTCACCCTAATTGAATTTAAACACTGCTTCATTCTCTCCAAAGTGTTACCGAGGTCTCCAACTTGGGCATTGTCCACACCTGTCACCCTCACCCCTTCCCAATCCTCCAAAATCCTATTCATTTCCTTACCTTTCTTCTTCTCTCTATTTTCACTTCCTCGTACCCCCACTCTTCTCCCTTTCTCTTGTTTGTATTGCTTTCGGTCTTGCTTCCTCACTATCGTTGTGCATAATGAGGGTAAATGAAACGGAACAGAGGAGAGGGGTGGAGAGAGCAGGGGTGTGGTAGGGAGGAAAGTCGGTGGGGAGATCTGGGGGTGTTTGGGAGGATAGTGAGTGGAGAGATAAGGGAGTGGATGGGAGGTAAGAGCAAGGGGTTGTAGGACGGATAGTGGGTGTGGAGAGCAGGGGTGGTAGGAAGGACAGTGAGTGGGGAGAGCAAGGGGCTACTGGAAGTATAGTGGGTGGGGAGAGTAGGTTTTCTGGGCGAATAGTGGGTGAAGAAAACAGGGGACTGGTTGGAAGGATAGAGGGTGGGGAGAGCAGAGGGTTGAGAATTAGGTAGGTGGGAAGAGCTTGGGAGAGGTAGGAGAAAAGTGGGCGGGGGAAGCAGGGGGCGTGATAGGGAGTAAAGAGGTTGAGGAGAGCAGGAGGGTGGGGAGACAGGGGTTGTAGGGAGGAGAGATGGTACATTACATTGCTAATGTAAGCGTAGTTTAAAGCCTCATTTGTAGATAATTGTTTGTTTTTGATGTTATGAGAGAGAGAGAGGAGAGAGAGAGAAGGAAGAGAGAGAGAGAGAGAAAAGGGAGAGGAGAGAGAGGAGAGAGGGGATTTTGGAAAAGCGAGGGGAAGAAGGATGGTAGAAATGTTGAAGGGGCGTGAAGTCTGAAGAAATACAGATACGCAGGTCGGTAGCCTACTTTAGGTAGGCTGGCGAACAGACAGGTAAGAAGGTAGACAGGCAAGTAGGATGGCAGGCAGGCAGGAACGTACCACCACCAGTACTAACCATATCGTGTGTACGTTCAGGACTCTGTGAGCCCAGCAGTGAACGGCACCACCTCCCCGCGTGAGAATGGCGTGTCCAAGAAAACTCCGCCCCTGGGCTCCGTCAGGTGAGTACACTATTCCACCTCTTACTCTCCTCATTCTCCCTTTTTCACTCTTTCTCTGCCTCCACTCCTCACTCTACTGCTGCCTTGGCTTCGTCAGGCGAGTACTACTCTCCCTCCCTCCCTCCCCCTGGTGATGTACATGATATACATATTTTAAGGTTGGTAGTATAAGTAATGAGGGTCACTGAGCTGAGTGTGAGGTTACTGGTTGGCGTGTCAGCACTGATGTGGTCTATCTTATGTGGTAGTAACCTGGTGTTGTGTTCCGCAGCCCCAGGAGCAGCGGTAGCTCCTCCTCCACGCCCCAGGCCAGGAAGGAGGAGAAGCCAGCCACGCCCAACTCAAAAGCCCCTACGCCCACCTCCTCGGGCGCCAGCGCTGTAAAACCCGTGGGCAAGGCGGCGCCCCTACCCGGTGTGGGCGCCTACCCACCAGGCTACCCACTACCTGAGGCTGCTGCCGCTGCCGCCGCCGCCGCCGCTGCTGCCGCCGCTGCCGCCGCCGCTGCTGCTGCCGCAGGATCCGGTGCGCCCTACCCTTACCCGAGGCCGCCAGCACACCCGCAGGCAGCCCCGCCCTCGTCTCTGGACATACACGGACGCACAGCCTCCCTGCACGCCCTCCAGGGCGGCAAGCCGTGAGTACCTCCCACTTGCCTCCTGACTCGTGACATAGTGCCAACAGTGCCTCCTCAGTGATCAGTGCCTCAGTGACACAGTGCAATATTATCAGTGACCAGGAGCTCAAAGGATTGTACAGTCGTGGATATCATAGTTTGCCCATTACATTCATATTCTTGCCATTAATTTTCATGATGATCAATGTTGTTGTTTGTGTTGTCAGAAGGAGTGTCTGCTATGGTTGAAGCAGAGTACAGTAGTGGTGGTGTGTGGTTAGTTGAGGGCAAACATGTGTTCCCGACTCTACAGCCTGGGACAGTGGGAGCGTGCTGAGTTGAGATACGAGAGGGAGTGGGACTCACCGTAGCGTGCGTGTGTCTTGGCCAGGGCGTACAGCTTCCACGTGAACGGAGAGGGTCAACTGGCGCCGGTCCCCTTCCCTCCGGACGCGCTGCTGGCGCCGGGGATCCCGAGACACGCACGTCAGATCAACACGTTGCATCACGGCGAGGTGGTGTGCGCCGTCACCATCAGCAACCCCACCAAGTACGTCTACACGGGCGGCAAGGGATGCGTCAAAGTGTGGGACATCAGTCAACCAGGATCCAAGACTCCAGTCTCCCAGTTAGACTGCCTGGTAAGTGCTTCCACAATCTGGTACATTACTCCAACCTGTATATTTTCCTGCCTAGCATGTCACCTTTATCTCTAGTGTGTCTGGGGAGTATGTAGGCTTGGATGAAGAGCTTTGTATCCCATCAATTCATCTCGTTTCCACACTCACACACACACACCACTGGAAGTTGAAGACTCAGATGAATCACAGGGATGTTAGGAAGTATTTCTTCAGAGTTGTCAGGAAGTAGAACAATCTAGAAAGTGATGTAGCGGAGGCAGGCTCCATATATAGCTTTAAGAAGAGGTACGATAAAGCTCATGGAGCAGGGAGTGGACCTAGTAGCGACCAGCGAAGAGGCGGGGCCAAGAGCTGTGAATTCGCCCCTGCAACCACAAATAGGTGAGTACACACACAAGCACACACACACACACATATATATATATATACAACATGCCTAGTGTCTAATTGACATATGCCTAGGTCAAAATGGTAATGGTAACATACATTCCACCTTATTGTAAACGGTCCTGACGTGTGTGTGTGTGTGTGTGTGTGTGTACCACCCAACCACTCCCACCAACACACATTCCATGTCTCTTCTCTGGTAAGGTAAGTATGCCGCTATTATCATTTGCTCTCCTGGTTGAAGGGTGCCAAGAGTTTGGCACTGGCCCGGCAACCCGTTCAAGTGCCACGGCCTTTTAGCCCCGGTACTTAAGTATTAGCCTCCCCTGCTTCAATGGCACTCTTTTACAGCTTCTGGAGAGTGCTACCCTCTGTTTTGTTGTGGAACCACTCTCCGTGTGTATGGGAATGTGTGTGTGTGGGGGGGGGAGCATGGGGAATTGGTGTGGCCTGTTTAGTGTAGAGGTTGATTTGGTTTATTTAGTTGGTGTAGTGTAGTGCGTTAGTATTTGGTAAAGCGGATTAGTGTTGTGTAAAGTTGCTGGCGTGAGGTGTAATGGGGTGAAGGGGTTGGCATGAGATGTAGATGGTTAGTGTAAGGTGTAGTGCGGGGATTCTCAACTTTTCCTCCACCATTAACCCCCTCGGCTTGATGTATTTCTCATTTACCCCTTTACTTCCATACAAAAAATTTATCGCCATCATAAAGGGACAGAAAACAAGGTCAGAAAAAAATAAATTGAATTATTATTCAATTATCAAGTACATCAAATATTTACCCTTTGCCATGTAATATTTTACCCCCAAGAGGTAAATTTACCCCTGGTTGAGAATCACTGGTATAGTGGATCGGCATGAGATGTAAATGGCTAGTGTGAGGTGTGGGAGGCTAGTTTGTGATGCAGGTGTGAGGGTAATGTGTAATGTTGGAGGTAGGTTACTGCAATAAGTACCACTACGGAATAATAAGTTACCTTTGGCACATTTAGGACTAAGCAGATAGAAGCAGAACATAATCAGATGCTAGAGCCAGTGATATTTTATACGAGAAGAAACCAAATCAAGCGGGTTCAACTGAAACTAAAGTAGAAGAGCATAAACAAGATGACAGCTGAAATGGCAAGAGTTGTGCAAGAAAGGTATAAAATACCGACAATATGTAAGTTAAGACACATGTGCAACATTTGGATATCTTTATTGTAGACGTTTCGCCATCCAGTGGCTTTATCAATACAGATTCTAGGACATAATTAGAAGACAGTAGAACTATATACAAAAGATGAGGTAATCAGTCCCTCAGCCTTGGAGTTAGTGTTCACAGCATCGTGGTGGTGGAGAATCTGGAGCAAAGGCAAGGAAACTGGCGGTTATATAGGCGTCAGTGGATAGGGACGTATAGCAGACGAGGGCATAATCCCTGGTAGGCGGGATTCCCCAGTGGAAGTAGGTCCTACCCAAAGGGATGGGTTAGTGACTATGCCCTCGTCTGCTACATGTCCCTATCCACTACAAGTACATGATACAACTCATACAGACCTAACTGACATCAATGACATACTATATAGAAACTCCTGGTTATGCAGACGATTAGGTTAATTTTGACCCCAGGATGCGACGCATACCAGTCGGCTAACACCCAGGTACCTAATTACTGCTATGTGAACAGGAACAGCTCCCCAAGAATCAACACATCGCCATTATCAGTCCTAGCATTTACAAGAAAAGAAATGCTCAACACTGATGATCTAAACTGTGTTTGAACCAGCAGTCACATGCTTCTTTTAAAAGAAACATGCGAAGTGAAGCTTTTCGGCGAAGAAAAAAAACAAAAACAGGATAAACCGAGTCTTCAAAATGTGAAGTATTACAAGAAGACTTCATGGAACAGATAATTTTTAAAGTTAAAAGCAAAATATATAGAATTCCGCAGCATATATGAAAATGTAATCGAACTTCTCTTTCTAAAAATGAGAAAAGTTAAAACAGTGAAGTACAGCTTAACAGCAGATGCCGGGAATCCCTGGGAAAAAAAGAAGTGAAAGCCAACTTCAAAGTTATTCCTCAAACTTTGCAGATTTTCAAAGAAACCAGAAAGTAATATACTGCCATAAAGAGAGAGGAAAAGAAGTGGCTTTGAAAATGGAAGAGCAAGCCTGGACAAAATTATGAAAGTTTGTAAAAGCAAACTAAAGATGAAAGGAAAAAAACCTACAAAGAATGAAAGACGATAAACACTGCCAGATAAGAGGAGTGTGGAGAACAAAAAAAAAAAATGAAGAACAGTTTTCTTTCAAATCAGAAAAATCCCCAATAGATGTATTAAGCTAGTATGAATAGAACCTTCTGTTATATGACATAGACCAACTACGCTGCTTGGTGATTCTTAACTTTCAGCACTGATGATGGAGTTTGATACTCCGAAACGCTGGCATGAAGATGAAGTTGACCGGTCAGTAACCTATCTTGTTTACCACGACTCTGTTGTTTCTGTTCCTTATTTGTCTTAGATTCACACGAGGAAAATCTGTTGCTGAAACCTATGAAGATAATCAGAGTCTTAAAATTATTAAGAAAAAGAATGGCTAGATTCCATTGATTTAAATTTCAAAAAGGTTTTGGAGAAATAAAAAGCGGAGGATGAGACGAGGGATTTTCCTGGTTGAGAGGAAAATGCGAACAGTGATAAGAGATGTGCAGCTGATGGGAAATGTTCCCAACGAGGTGTCACAGGCACCAGTGCTAGCCCTGATAATGTCACCAGCTGGGTGTCACAAGGACCAGTGCTGGCCCTGATAATGTCACCAGCTGGGTGTCACAAGGACCAGTGCTGGCCCTGATAATGTCACCAGCTGGGTGTCACAAGGACCAGTGCTGGCCCTGATAATGTCACCAGCTGGGTGTCACAAGCACCAGTGCTGGCCCTGATAATGTCAACAGCTGGGTGTCATAAGCACCAGTGCTGGCCCAGATAATGCCACCAGCTGGGTGTCACAAGCACCAATGCTGGCCCTGATAATGTCACCAGCTGAGTGTCACAAGCACCAGTGCTGGCCCTGATAATGTCAACAGCTGAGTGTCACAAGCACCAGTGCTGGCCCTGATAATGTTACCAGCTGGGTGTCACAAGCACCAGTGCTGGCCCTGATAATGTCACCAGCTGGGTGTCACAAGCACCAGTCCTGGCCCTGATAATGTTGCCAGGTGGGTGTCACAAGCACCAGTGCTGGCGGCCCTGATAATGTCACTACCTGGATGTCACAATGGCCGGTGCTGGTCCTGATATCACCAGCTGGGTGTCAGAAGACCAATGCTGGCCCTGATAATGTCACCAGCTGGGTGTCACAAGAACCAGTGCTGGACCTGATAATGCCACCAGCTGGGTGTCACAAGGACCAGTGCTGGACCTGATAATGCCACCAGCTGGGTGTCACAAGGACCAGTGATGGCCCTGATAATGCCACCAGCTGGGTGTCACAAGGACCAGTGCTGGCCCTGATAATGCCACCAGCTGGGTGTCACAAGCACCAGTGCTGGCGGCCCTGATAATGCCACCGGCTGGGTGTCACAAGCACCAGTGCTGGCGGCCCTGATAATGCCACCAGCTGGGTGTCACAAGCACCAGTGCTGGCGGCCCTGATAAAGAGTAAGTCATGTAAATGACTTGCCAGAAAGAATAAGACAAAAGAACAGGTTTGCAAAGGAAAGAATAATTCTATGCCCGCTGTGTAACGAGAAAACTGTGTACGAGAAGAACTGAATAAATAGAGCAAATGGAATTGATGGATGAAGCAGGGGAATGTAAACAAATGCCATGCCACAGAAATGGTAGAAAGCAATAACAGGTAGCGTGAAGAATACACATAAATGGTACAGAGGAATCTGTAAGTAATTATACATTAAAAATTATCACCAGAAGATCACGTAAGAGATTTACAGATGGTATCCAGGAGATAGTAAGAGCTACGATTGCTGGGATGGTATCCAGGAGATAGTAAGAGCTACGATTGCTGGGATGGTATCCAGGAGATGGTAAGAGTTACGATTGCTGGGATGGTATCCAGGAGATAGTAAGAGCTACAACTGCTGGGATGGTATCCAGAAGATAGTAAGAGCTACGATTGCTGGGATGGTATCCAGGAGATAGTAAGAGCTACAACTGCTGGGATGGTATCCAGGAGATAGTAAGAGCTACAACTGCTGGGATGGTATCCAGGAGATAGTAAGAGCTACGATTGCTGGGATGGTATCCAGGAGATAGTAAGAGCTACGATTGCTGGGATGGTATCCAGGAGATAGTAAGAGCTACAACTGCTGGGATGGTATCCAGGTGATAGTAAGAGCTACGATTGCTGGGATGGTATCCAGGAGATAGTAAGAGCTACAACTGCTGGGATGGTATCCAGGAGATAGTAAGAGCTACAACTGCTGGGATGGTATCCAGGAGATAGTAAGAGCTACGATTGCTGGGATGGTATCCAGGAGATAGTAAGAGCTACGATTGCTGGGATGGTATCCAGGAGATAGTAAGAGCTACGATTGCTGGGATGGTATCCAAGAGATAGTAAGAGCTACGATTGCTGGGATGGTATCCAAGAGATAGTAAGAGCTACGAT